GACTAAATACTTTTTTGCCCCACTGTAGTGGTGAATTTTGACTCTGCATTAGTCTCCTCCGGTTCTAGAACTTCAGAGCCTATCACTCCCAGCCAAATGAGTGATGGGACCTGATGTTCCCCGACTGGAAGGAGACGTGGCTGGGGGCGGCTGTGGACCAAAGTCCGCCTGGTTTCCCCCTCTTCCAGCTTACTGTTGTCCTCTTGCCAATTGACTCAGCATCAGACCAAGAGACTTTGCTCAGCAATGAGTTAACAATTGATTCCCCGGGAGGCGGGTCAATGACAAGGTTGCATTTTCGTTGGCGGGCTCTCCCTCTGCAAAACGCCAACCGGTTGCTCCCTGGGGATGGCACAGCATCCCCGAAGTGGGGATCAGGCGTGATCCTGGTGCCTGGGTCCCGAAAGGCCACGAGCGATCGTGCAGAGGGACCAGACAAAATGGATGTCCTCATCGGTTGACGGGGTAAAATTCAGGGCACTTATCAGGAATTGGGCCAGGGGGAGGTCAAAAAATGGCAGGTGTGATATGTGATCAAGATCACACCTTGGCTTTTTGGACACCCCCATCCAAGGGCATCCAGCTTTTCGGAGGCCAAGGATGACCTTTGAACCCTCTTCAGGGCTGCCTTCCAACAGGTAGGGAGGGGCAGGATAAAAAAGAGGACAGGATCCTGAGCAAAGCTAAATCTGAACTAAAAGTAAATTTCAGTTGATTTACATGTCATATGATTATCTCCCCGCCCCTCTATTTAGCAATACCCCCCTTCTGCCGCCTTAAAAATATAATTGCGGCAACCTTTCCGGTCATTTATTCATAATGTTTATCTGCTGCCAAATCATTCTGATTCCCAGGAGCTTCTAACAAAATAAAATCCAATCAAAGCATCCCATAAAAAAAAAAAAGGAACCCTGGGCTGAATTCATGCAATAGAATTAAGCAGGTCAGGTAAAGACCGAACAGCTGCATTCCCACATCATCTAAGCTTGGGAAGAGTTCATCCTGCTTTGATTTGGCTTAAGGTGTGATGCAAACCCAGTCTACTGGGTGAATCTGTGGGTCAATGTGTTGGTTAAAGCCGGAAGAGGGGTTAATTTATTAAGCAGGATAAATGTGTTGTCTCCCACACAGCCACTGGGAGCCAGGATCTCCCCAAACGCTATTGGAGTGTTGTCATTGAAGATGCAATCACGGAAAGCAGTGTTTCTCAACCTCAGCAACTTTAAGAAGGGCGGACTTCAACTCCCAGAATTCCCCAGCCAGCCATGGGAGTTGAAGTCCACCCTTCTTAAAGTTGCTGAGGTTGAGAAACACTGATGTAGAGGTTTAGAGGCACTTCCAGAGGAGGTGGGACTCTCTCTTCTATCTGCAACCCATTATTTGTATTTTTTGGGGGGGTGGGGAAGAGCGAAGACAAAATTAAGTTTCTCAAGCAAATAAACACCGTTCAATGTTTGGTTTTTCCCCACATTCCCTCTGGTTGCTGAGTTAGCCTATTTTTCTGGCCTTGCACAAGATGTTGAGTCATAAACCAACCAAAGAGAATATAGATTCCCACTGGGGGGAATGTCAGAAAAGTCAAGATGGCAGTTGTGGCCATGTGATCAAAACCCCGCCTTTAAAAAAAATGCATTC